ATATTATACAAAAACATGTACTATACATGCTATTAGAGCGATTGCTGAGAGAATATGCTCAGCTCAGAGACTTAACAAGAATACATTTTGATAAAAAAAAAACAGTTACAGTTAAGATTCTATGAGGATCTACAGTTCAGAGAGGGCTGCATGATATCAGGAAAACCTGTGATGTGTGATAACAGTGCTTAATTTTGTGATGACGATATGACTTGCGATAAATGAACAAATACATTCGTATGTAGTGTTGATGTTTTCTGGGTTCTGAGCAAAAAAACAAACAAAGAAACAAAACTAATCATTTTCTTTCTGGTATGAATTTTTTAAAATATGAAGAGTAATATATGAAGGGCTCCATTTGATTGGTGAAATACTTCAAGCTTCCGTCTGAGTGACAAAACTCATAAATGCAAACAGTTTATGCATTTGTTGCAATATGCATATTGCACAAGCAGTTATTGCGATGATGGTACATTTTGGATATATTGTGCAGCCCTAGTTCAGACTGTGACTTGGGTCACACTATCCTCCTCAGTTAAGAGAGAATATATCTATATTTTTAACCTTGTTTTACATCCCTAAAGATGAATCAAAACACCTAGTGAAAACATAATTTTATGTTTATGTTAACTTTTATGCTTATCAATAGAGCTCTAATAGAGAGGAGTGGAGGAACCACCATTCCAACAGAATACCATTACAACTGTATAACTAAATTACAACTATACCTTTAGAATTACCATGTTATTACATTTGCTTTTTACACTACAAAACACATGAAGTACACTTGAGTGTACAGATAATTATTTCTTTAAAAATAAAGATAGAAATTTTTTTTCAAACCTTGTTTTACATCCCTAAGGATGTATAAAAACACTTAGTAAAAAATAATCCTGACTGAGTTTATCATAATTCATGCACGAAAGGGTTAATGCAATTGATAAACTGTTACCTACTTCATTCATGCAGTGTAAACATACCTGTGGTTGACACTGAAGGAAGCCATTTGGAGATGAAGACCTTGGTTTTTATTTTTGTCTGTGCAGGGAAACAACAGACCATTGTAGCTGTGTACACTTCCTCATTTCAGCCAAAGTGGAGCTTTATGTTAAGATTCTTTTGATTTACATTTTTAGTTTGTTTGCAGACTTTCTGGAAATGAAATTACTTGCGATGCTAGAGGCGTTCTGCCCTAAAGAACAAAGGTTAAATTAAAGAGCCGTCAAAATAAACGTTTGACCTTTTAATGTGCAAATGATCAACACTTCTACTTTTGACTTGATTCAAAACTGCTGAACTCATCTAAAAGCTGTAGCAAAGTAAAACGTGCCATCCTACTGCTTTCACTATCTGAACTGAAATGTACTTACTTCTGTTCCTTGGAGTTTCTTATCATCGTCGATAAGTCCGCTCACTGAAGCTGAAAAAACAATCATCTGCTCTTCTCAAAGGAAAAAAAAAAGAAGTGACTGTGGATTAAAACTACAGCTCAGTTTCCTAGTTTCCATCATGTGACATTTTAGACCTTTGACCACAGGATCCGTTGGTTTCTATCCGTATGTCGGGGTTTGTTTTGTTTGCAAGACATTTTCTCATTTTTTTCTCTTCTTTTTTTTCTCTTCTAACACACTAAAATGATCATGACCGCTGTGTTATTCAGGCTGAGGAGTGTGTAAACAATGAGCTCACCCACTGAGATAACCTGCAAATTATTCACCTGCTGCTTTCAGCTGACAAAGAACCATTACCTGGAACTTTATCACCAAAACATTAAGTAAAGTTTTTTATTGATCCTGTCCTTGCTGGTCTCAGTAACCAAACTCCTGTTTACTATATAAATCACAAACCACTGTTATTGGACAAAAAAAACATCCCAACCAAGAATAGTGAAATTGAAGTTTTATTGACAGTTTGGGGTAGATGCTGTGATTCTTCATGATTTGGAGTCTCGGTGACACTGCTGTCAGTCATCCGCGTCAGCAACTTTTCTCCTTTACGATCAAAATGTTCATCTTGGTTGTTCTGAGAAAAGAACAAGTTCATAAAAAGAAGTGAGAGGTGTGTGTGAGGGGACTACACAGATAAAATGGTTGAAATTATGGATGTAAATTGTAAAAAAACAAACAAACCAATAAAAAAGGCAGAATGACGTGTTAATAGAAGTGGAAACAAAAAATAAATTAGTAAATAAATTAAAAGAACTGCCCAGGATACTAAACTTAGGTTTAAGACTGAGGTGTGAATTGAGATTAGTTTAGGTTTAGGGTTCGATGTGTGTTGGTTGGGTTTCGAAACTCGACCTCAGTAAAAAAAAAAATTTAGAGCGAAAATTTGGTGTGGTCATATCCATGAGTCACTCCCAAAACAAACTCTGAATACAAACAGATCCTGTGTGACCTTTCTTTAAGACTTTGGTCTTTAGGTAATGCTATAGTTTCATTGACTAAAGGGCTAGTTAAGATTTTTTGAAGTATTTATGATGTGTGGAAAGGTTATAAACAATTAATATTTAAAAATGGACAAGCTAACAAACAGCACTAAGACTGAAGTTAATTTCTGTCATCTTAAAACAGATTCATTCTCAAAAATATAGCAGCTGAACACACACTATCTATCTATCTATCTATCTATCTATCTATCTATCTATCTATCTATCTATCTATCTATCTATCTATCTATCTATCTATCTATCTATC